TCTGAATTGATAAAGATGTTTAAAAAGGTGGGTTAAGTTTTTGGCTCTCCTTCCCCACAATGCTTGAAAAATAATTTGATTAACAAAAGGCTCATCCTAAGATTCTCTGTTAACAGGACTGTATTGTTAATTTTTAATCTCTTAAAAATTATTTTATCCCAAAGTTGCCCACTTCCATATCTCTATGCCAAGTGGGATTAGGACTTTTGAGATTCAGGTCCACTATTACATGAGGACTCATTCATTTCTGAATTGAGATCCCTTAGATGATTTCTCATCTAAGTTCATGTGTCTAATGCAGAATCCAGAATTAATTGTTTCTCAACAACTAAATCCTAATCAAACATCTGACATTTGGCCAAAATGCAGATAATTTTAAACATTAGAAACAACATTAAACAACTGAGATATAAACATTAAAACCAGGAAATCAAATATTTGACAAGCACTGAGGTTTGGGTATCACCTAAACCTAACCTCTAAAAAGTTAGCCACTATCCATAGGGGTGAGGCTTACAAACAGTAACAGAACTACAGAATTCACAAAATAAAAATTCTAAAAACTACAATTACAGCACTGGCCTAACAACCGGCAATCTCAGTGCTGTAAAGACATGCATCAAGTTCATCAAAATGAACCAGAATCTCATTACAAAACAGAAATTAAAAGAAACTCAAAATTGTTCAGAAAACAAAAACTAAGAAAAACCATAAATCAGAAAAACAGAGAAGAGCTCCCCGATGACTCACTCCTATATCCCTTTTATAGGGCTCTTTGCACACTATCCTCTTTTTCTCCAGCTCAGCAATATGACGCGCTGCTGCAAATGAGTGGTCCCCACAGTGCTCCACTCCTCTGCTCTTACAAATCGGATGGAATTGTCGTTCCTTCAAACCGTACACTGACGTGTGCTCACAATCACTCCAGCATCCACTAAGTAACGGATCTTTGTTTGGCTTTTTCTGAATCCAAAATAGTGGCTAGGTTTTGGTTTGTTTGCGATATTGTGTGGTTTGGTGCGTCAATCAGGTAGAAAGGGTGCAAACGATGGAAATGGGTTGTATGAGGGTTAGGGTTCGGTTCGAGAGACAAGGTGTTAGGGTTTGTGTAAGTTGGTCCGATTCAAAAACTGAACCGTGGTGGAAAGTGATGGTTCTATATCTAGGTTGAAAATCAGAGGATGTTTTTGGTTTACTTGCTCGATTCAGAGAGGGAACCGTGATGGAGAGCTTGAGATGGAGTAGGCTCACTTAGACGGTCTATGCTAGGGTTTTTTTCTTTCTCTTTCAGAAGACGCACGATTCTGACTTCTTTCTCTCTTCTTCTTTTCTTTTCTTTTGGGCCACTGATTTGCTTTCTCATTTCTCTATTATTTCCTTTCTCTTTCCTTTCTTTCCTTGGGCTGTATCACAATTGGGCCTGAAGAATGCAAATAAGAAAAAAAACCCATTAGCATTTAAATCAGAATCATCCACCTTAATTCAATTTGGGGTATCTATTAACACAAAGTGTATTCTTTTTTAACATTTTCATATTAAAAACCATACATTGTAAGTATTATTTCATGGACTTATCAGCAGGCCTTGGTGGCCTTAAACCAGGTGTGCTCATGAAGGCCAATAATCTGCTTCGTGTGCCACTGGTTGCTGCATTCATTGTTTCACTACTCAACAGCTCATTTGCCTGTTGTGGATTTGATGGAGGTGGGCTACTTCCTCTCAAGTTGCCTTCATGTGGCTGAGAATTACCAACTGCTGCAGTCCAGTCAACTGCCATGCATTGCAATTATCAACAATCATTTACCTGGATTCTTCTCTGATTTTTCTCTGTATTTAAATATCAACAATCATGCAATTACCTTTTATAGAAAAATAAATAGTATAATTGCAATGCTACACTACTGAAGATATTGTTCGTAAATCGCATAACGCTATGTCTTATACAGACTAAGAGAATTAAAGCAGTTCATAGTATTCTAGGGATCGTAAAAGCTGTTTGCAAGAACGAAGAATCCCTTTTAACAAAGTGGGAAGCTTAATTAGCATTGAAAAAGAAATGAATAATCGTTAATAAGGTCGAAACTTCAGTTAGAAACACAAACTTCTTTGAAATAAAATGCAAGAAGGAGTATTTTATTTTGTGATGAAATTTAGTTTAATTACTTTGTGATGAACAAATGGATTGCACTCCTGCTTCTGATGTAATGCACTTCTGTTTTGCAAAATTGGACTGCATAGAAAAGCAATGAAGTCATGTTCCTATTTTTCTCTGGTTAGGGACCAATAAGGGCCCAGTGCTTTTTGTCAGGGACTAAAAACGTCCTCGTGCATTTTGACAGGGACCAAAATAGCCCGCGTGGTTTTGACAGGGACCAAAACGCCATCGTCTCGTCTTCCACGGTGTCCCACATCCAAGCCGCGTCAGCAAACTAACGTGCCAACTGTGCACCGTTAGTTGGGTCGAGTTAACGAAAGGATGAACGTGGCCTTTTTTTTGTTATTTCAGGGATCAATTTGTCCCATTTTTATTGCTAGGGACTGAAAAGGGCTTCGTGGATATTGCCAGGGACTAAAAATGGTATTTACTCATTAAATAAAAAGCGAGTTGAGTTTTAATTTCCTCTTCCTTTATTTGCTATTAAGTTACTTAAAAAATGGGAGTGGTTTCTTTTTCAACAATTCCTGATTAACAGAAATATAAAATTAATCATTGTTTCTCAACAATAATTTTCTTTTACAAACAATTGACACATCTCTGTGCAACCATTAATATAAGACCTTGAAGCATCATTTCCTTAAGTTACATGGGGTAACTTCATGTTTGAAGCCATACACATTGAGAGATCTCTCACTCAACTCTCCATGTGCTTAATGTAAGGTCTAATGTGATTTATTTCTCAATAAATCCACACCTCTATGAGTTATTTATGTATGGCCACTGTGCTGGGTGTCAATCAAGGAAAACTCAATCCGTTCCCAAGATGATGACTGTAAGAACCCGCACCGTTAAATTAAGAATTTAAATAATTAATTATGCATTTAGGAAAGAATTCCATATTTGACCTTGAATAATTATTAGAAGACTTAAATAATTATAGTAAGTGCTTAAGAACGCTGAAAGTCGCTTTTCTGACGAAAAGTGCAGATACCGGTTTTGCTCCATGATATAAGTGCGTACTGGTGAAGTAATAATAAGAATTGGTGTCAGAACTAATACCGACAACGTGAAAACGCGTACCGGAAAAGTGTTGCAAAAAATTATAATACAAATATGACAAATCCTAGAAAAATGGCTAGGTTCAGAATATGAAGTTTGAGATTAAAATGCTAAGCGTAGCTATTAGTGCTAATACCGATGGGTTGAACTTAAGTGGACTGTAAATACAAAGGGCCGGCACACATTTCTAGGTCAAAATTTCATTTCTTCCTACGGGAGTTTCTGACCCTATTGGTTGCCACCTTCTTCTCCATTGCAAGGTTGGAGATTTTCTCCATTTCCAAGCTCAAGTTCCCATATTTTCTTCTTGAAAACCTTTCTCCATCATTGGGTAGAATTTTAGCAAGCATTGGGGGTGTGGGGAGTGTGTTATTGGGAGCTGTGCATCTGTTTTCTGAGCTTGTAGGGGCTGACTCCATTAGTTAGAGGTGTTGATCCATTTTCCTTGCATTGGTGACTTCAAGTAGCCACCTTTGAAGGGAAAGGACCTTGTTTGATGATCAAATTTGTGGCTCTACATTGGCAGCAGCATGGGGTTATATTAAGGTCCCAAGTCACCTTTTTTTCTGAGTTCTTGAGACTCCATAGGTATACCTTGAACATTCCCTTTGAAATTTCATGAAAATAGCTTGTTTGTGTCATGAAAAGAGATAACTTTATTCATTCGAGCTAAGGGTTGTTAATCTAGGATTAATTGTAACACCCCGTTCTAGAACCGGTTTGTTAACATCGCATTATGATATTAAGCGCAGTTACAATCACATGGGTTCAATTAAAATCCGGATAAATTTTTCATTTTAAAACATACCGAACTTATAATACCCAATTTCGGGATCATAACCATATTACCTTGCGGAAACAGATAAATTAAGCTTAACATCATGTTCATTTTCCATTTTTAAACCATTAATTTACTTCTTATTTATTTCACAACTTCTACTATATTGTAGGTTTCTTCATTAGCTACCTGTGGCTTCAAACCGTGCTCAAATCGGAGCACTGTAGCCCAAGTTAGGACAATTTGAAGCAACACAAGAGAGTGTTGGTCACAGGCCCCGCGCGCTTCAGCGCGCTACCGGGCGCTCAAGCGCGCGCTATAGGGCGCTAAAGCCTCCATCTGGGTGCTTAAGCGCACGGAGGCAGTAAGCATCAGGTATTCCAGTGTGGATGGGCGCTTAAGCGCGCAACAGGGCGCTCAGGCGCGCTATCCTGGGCGCTCAAGCTCCCACTAGGACGTTTTAGCGCGCAGAGACAGAAGCATCTTCTCCTTCAGTGGCGAAGGGCTCTCAAGCGCGGACCAGGGCGCTCAAGCGCGCAACCCTGGGCGCTAAAACACGAGGGGGCAGTAAGCATCCCAACTTTCTGCAGCAAAGGGCGCTTAAGCGCAAGCCAGGGCGTAATCCTGGGCGCTTAAGCCCCCACTTGGGCGCTCCAGCGCGAGGAGGCAGAATGCATTGGCACTCGCAGGGGCAGCAGGGCGCTTGGGCGCGCTCCTGGGCGCTTAAGCGCGCTGCCAGGGAATTCCAATTCCCACATTTCTCAAGTTCAAGCCTAGGGGAAGATGCATCCTCATTACAAACCCCAATTGTCCATGCCCCAAAACTAAATCCTAGCACTCATCCAACCTCTCCTCATGAGATTTAGCTAGAATTTGGGCAGCATGACCTTTGTTTCTCATCGTTTACCAGTTTAAACAAAAGGGTACCTAATTGATTTTCAGCCCAACCAATTCAACAACTCAATACATAACAAGCATGCATATATTGAATTTCCAGTAGGCATCATTTACATTACATATCCTTTACAAATCATAGAACTTAGCTTACAAAACACTATGATCATTCCCTTGGCTCCCATCAACAAAAGGTGTAACCAAAGGCATGAGCATAGGCTAAGTTCATCCAATGAATCAAGATATACAAATGACCATGGGCTTTCAAAATAAAATCCTATACATGTCAACTACAAAAGGCATGCATAAACTCAAAAGAAATGCCACATTTCATGCATAATCCAGATATGGCCACTTGCCACCAGAGGCTCCTGCAGCATCCTTACCTGAAAGGGGGTCCCCACAACACGGGGTGAGATATACGAATATATCCAGTAAACCAGGGGTCCTTGGAGCATCTCTCCACCCCACAGTTCCATATCAGTGTAATAGCAATAACAATAATAATGCAGTAAATACATATCTATGCAAAGTGCAATACATCTCCAGGAGAAATTCCTCGAGCTCTCAAGCTGTCCTAAGGAAACTCAGATGCAAATAGTCCTACTGGCCAGCTAACTACCAAGTATGATTTACGCATCGTCATGCCACATACCAACATAGGGAAACACCATCCTATGCCACACCAAATGCATACACATACGTATAACAAAGCATTACACTATTTTATTGCATTTATATACACAATCACAACCTCCACCCTTTCAGGGCTTGGTAGAACAGTCAAGGGAATTACACCCAAGGTCCGAAGGCTTACCTCAATGCTTCAGTCGACCTTTGTTCTTCACCAACAGTTTCAGCAATCCACTTTTACAAATATACACCTATACAAGGGTAATGCAATTAACATATTGCATTCAAGGATAACTCATCATCATCAATCCAAGCTATCCTATTCATACCACAACACAAGGATGAGCTTACCAATTCCAATGAGCTATTCAAGCTCCATAGCTTGCTCCAATGGTTGATCACTCACGGTTGGTCCAAATGTCTCAATCCTAGACATCACAAGGACACAATCAATCATTCAACTCACTAATTGTTCAACATGCTAGAATACTAACCAATCCAAGCATGAATTTTCCAATATTATGAACAATTATCAAATGACTATCTAGGCTCATTTCCACCGATTAAATGTCGTTCCTAGCATTTTTCATAACATGCTTTAAGCTTAAATCTTCCTAGAACATAGTCAATTTACTCACAATTTCTAAAATTCCCACTTTACTATTCACAAAACCCTACTCATGAAATTTTCCATGAAAATTAGGTTCAAGGGTTTAAATCTTACCACCAATGGTTGCACAACAATGATGTGAGTGCTCCTCAAGCTCCCATGGAGGTAGAAGCCACCAAAACCCCAAAATCTCTCCAATGGCCAAATTTTTGAGAGGCAATATCCCTCTCCACAATGCTCCCCACTCAAAACAAAGCAAGGGTTATGAAAGAGGAGGAGATTCTAAGCGATTTAGGTTTTTGAACGGATGGATTTGGTTGAGATTTGCTCACTCTATGATCTCCCCTTTCTTCTTCCCTCTCTTCTCCCTCTCTTCTCTTCTCCTTTTTTCTGTTGCAGTCGACGGCAATGGGGGGAAATGGGGATTCTTTTGGCTTTTTAAGTCACTTACTTGGTTAAGTGACTTATGTGGGTATTGGTTCGTCTATCTATTCAACTCCAATAATTACCAAACTTTACCCAAAAGTCTGGAATATTATTCTAGGAATATTACTATTTTTATTTTTATATTTTGGGTACTTTTGCCAGTACCCATTTATACCCCTTAATTTTCACTGAGTACACTTTTTAACTCCAAAGTGACTCAGATTCACTTAATTAAGCCTTATACTTAATTTCACTCACTAAAACATGTTTAATTAATTAATTACATTAGATTTACTAATTAATTAAGTTGGGCTATTATATTAATAAGTGATAATGAACATTTGTTTTGTGATAAAACCGAACCTTGGATCATTGGAAGCCTTTACCACTTCGGATTATGCAGACAAAATCTGCAAATTGCGGTTCTGTCCGCGTGGTAATCGATTACCTTTCACTTGGTATTCGATTACCATGTGCAGTAATCGATTACTCTATTTTGGGTAATCAGTTACCATGTGCAGTAATCGATTACCAAGTGCTTGGTAATCGATTACCACCTGTCAGAATGACTAGAAACCAATTTTCAATGCGTGGAAAAGTCCCTATTTGGGCATAATGCCCTAGGAGGTCAGTGTTACTGTTGGGAAACAATATTACCTTTAATTGTTGGGCTTAATGCTTGATAATTATGAACTAGAAAAGATGTAAACGAAAAAGGAAACGTTATTGTAACATAATTAACTTCTAGAGTTGGAATGATGACAATGTTTCTATTATTAAACAGACTGTGAGTGGGCTGTTTGGTGATTGTGGGCTATTGTAGACTCTTGACTTGGGATTGATTGCTTAAGAGGTAAGCTTTCATGTCCTCGATTTTGCCCATTGTTGGTTCCCCATACCTCATGGAGGGATGACTTATATGCATGATGTGTTTTCCTGAAATGATGATTATTGAAATGCTATTGAGCTATTAAGTGCAAGTGCCTCATGACATGTATGTGGTGTTCCACTTAGACTGTAAGCCTGAGTATGTGGCGTCATACAAGATGGTGTTCTGTGGGTGAGGTACAAGCAGTGTTCCTTGTACTGTAGGTTGTAGACGTATGTAATTCCTGCATGTTTATTCTCTGGCCAGTAGGATTTTGACACACATGACATGATTATATCCTGCGTTGCACAGATTTTGAAGCTTATACTGTTTTATGCTTTTGAACTTATATTGCACATGTAAGTGAGCTTGGAGTGGAGAGATCTTTGAGGACCCCTTGTCTTACTGAGATTTCTTTTTAGAGATCTCACCTCATGTTTAGGGCACATTTTCAAGTTCAGGTAACTCGGGGGGTTGAGACCTCAGGCGGCAGAAGGCCGAAGCTGAGTTGATTATACATGTTGATTGCTGATATGTCTGCTTGTGATTATGCTTTATATTAGTATATGACCATTTGATTTGAGACTATGTCGGGCTTTGTTGCCTTATTTTGTGAGCATGGGGGTTGTCCATGCCACATTACTTTGACTTTGTTTGTTTGGATGTGAGTTGTATAATGTGTCAGGATAATGTTCGGACTACGTGTTGTAGGTCCGTGATTTAGATACGCATTTATATATGAGGTTATTCAGTTAGTTATTTTATTGCAATCTACATATAGGCATTATTTTGAAAATAGATTAAGTAATCAACTAGGTTAATATTAATAACGTCATAATTGAAAAGAAAAAGTTAGCTTCCGCATTTAATTGAGTTGCGCTTAATTTCGTATCATGATAACAATCCGGGTATACACGAGGTGTTACAATGACTAACTATGCAAGTGCACGCATCAAGTAATAAATGAGAGTTTTAGTGCCTAAATTATCGTTTCCACGAAAAAAGTATTGCTAATATGAAACTTAAGCTGTATTAAAGAAATCAATATGTATTATAATTATCTCATTCAACATGAGATAACTCATCTTCCTACACACACATGATAAAAGTGGGTCCCACATTTATTTTTTCTCTTTCCAATCATTTGTGGTTCCCTCTTATAATTTTATTTCACTAACATAAAATAATTTATCTACTACAACATAAGAAAATAATTTCCCAATAAAAATATGGGTTAAAAATATTGAACTATTCTGGCTCATAATTCCCAGATATCACAGTGGTGTTCCCACTATAACAAAAGGTTCAAATCAACTTAAAATAATTCCTCCTGTCATTATATATTTCAAGTCCTTTATAATTCAAGGAGGAATGACAAATCATTGGAAGAGATATTTGTTGTGTGATGTGAAATAAAGTAAACATATGCAGAAATTAAAATGAGCAATAACAAGAAACAACACGATGAAGTGATAAACGGAATGACAGGTAAAGGAAAAGGAATGGATGCAATGATCCACCGTAAATCAGCTGTAATCTAGGCTCAAGACCTTTCCAATAGACTTGTTCATGTCTCTTTCACTGCCAATGTTGATTGCTCAAGCTCTTAGGTTAAAAACGTATGTGAAATCCCATATTCCTATGCGAGTTTGTTCCCAAATAATTAGTCAGAACATAACCTTTAATGAATAAGGTGGTCCTTTATTCTTAAGGCAACCAGTGAAAGTGCACACTTTTCACCTTCCTCCTATTGTTAAGCAGTCTAAAATCCCTTCCTTAAGAAAGTTCCTTTCTCAGTCATGTTCAATTTCCATTGATACAAGATATTAAAATATATAAACAATATAAATCCATTAGATTCAGTAACTAAGATTCAATAACAGAGCATTTATAGTTTCACATATTATCCATTCCAAAAGAAAACTAGTTCATGCTTGAAGATATCGCTGAAAATACAAAAAAAATCTTAACAACTTGAAATCCCATATATACGAAATACAAAATGATGCAGACAAAGCAGAAAGAAAAGAAATTATAGACTTAGATGAAATAATAATAAAATAAAGACACAATGTAACAATGGTAAAATAAAAAATGAAAGTAAAACAGAGTTAAAACTAAGAATAAGGGTGTTGTTCTCAGAGTTAAAACTATTTTGCCAAAGCTTTTTCTACCTTCGTCTGATCTTCTATTTATAGGAATGGGAAGACAGTGGCATTCTTGTGAATAAAACAGGTCGTTCCCTGCACCGTTGGATTGAGGATGTCTCCTTCTTTCTTTGATCGGACGATGGGTTTTGTAACATCCCGGGTGCTGACAAGGTCGGGGAATAATCGCCGGTGCGCAAGGGCATAGACAAGGAGCGGCTCCTGGCAGGCTTCCAGCGGGGGGTACATGAATGAATCAAATCAACACCTGAAAGAGAGGGATTCCAAAGACTGTGCAGGTATGGGACTGCACAGTTGGGGATAACTTATAAGAATTAATTGGTACTACTTATACTAACATGATGCATCTACTTTTTGGTAGCCTGGAACGAAAGAACTCCATAGTTAAGCGTGATTTACTTGGAGCAATTATGGGATGGGTGACATCCTGGGAAGTTTTTCCAGGAAGTGTGCGAGTGAGGATAAAGCACGCAGAAAAGTCCCGTGTTAGTGTGTGGGGATAGTCATTGATTCTTGAAATGATCGGGTGTTACAAGTGGTATCAATGCAGGGCCTCTCTCCAATACGGTGTGGTTCGAGGACGAACCAGGCAGAAGCTGGTGGGCATGTAACATCCCAGGTGCTGACGAGGGCGGGGAGTGATGACAGGTGCGCAAGGGCGCAGACAAGGAGCGTCTCTTGGCAGGCTTTCAGCAGGGGGTACATGAAATCGAATCAACACCCGAAAGAGAGGGATTCCAAAGACTGTGCAGGTATGAGACTGCACAGTTGGGATAACTTATAAGAATTAATTGGTACTACCTATACTAACAAGATACATTTACTTTTTAGCAGTTCGGTACGGAAGAACTCCATAGTTAAGCGTGCTTGACTTGGAACAATTCTGGGATAGGTGACCTCCTTAGAAGTTTTCCAATGAAGTGTACGAGTGAGGATAAAGCACGCTGAAAAGTCCCGTGTTAGTGTGTGGGGATAGTCATTGATTCTTGAAGAGGTCGGGCATTATAGGTAGGGGTGTTAACGGGCCGGGCCGAGCCGAGCTTTGGTCTTAAAAGACTAAGCATGTGTTTAAATGTGTCAGCCTGACCAAGCCTGTTACCTGTTATAAATATAATTATCGGCCTCTGGCCTGGCTTATTTACAAAAAATAAAAAACTGGTTTAACCTAATTAAAAAAAATAAAACAACAAAAATTTATCCAAACAGAATGTACAATCAACAACACTAGTAATTTCATAAATATTCATAAATTTAATGTATATCCAAACAGCATAATATAAAACATAATCATTCAAAAAATTTGTTTAACTAATAAAATAGGGTGAAATGGATTGAGGAGAAAGAGAAGACTATTACA